ATGTGGGGCTCGATCCCAGGACCCTGGGATCATGACCTGAGCCGAAGGTAGACACTTAACGACTGAGCCACCCGGGCACTCCAAGGACTTATTCATTTTTTAATGTGGTCATGTTTTGGTATTGTGGTATTGTGGTCATTTTTTTTTTTTAACAGCCCTTATGTTTTTGATGCATACTGAAATATTTATGGACAAAATGATAAAATCTGGTATTTGCCTCAAAATAATATCAGGAGGAAGTGGGATAGATGAAACAAGATTGGGCATGTAGTGATCATTTTTGAAGCTGGGTGATGGGTATGTGGGACCTCATTATACTGTTTTTTTTTTCTATTTTTGTGTATAATAAACTCAAGCAAATATAATTATAAACTTGTGCAAATTTATAGAGACAGCAACATCAGCACAGAGTAAGCATCAAGTGATGGGTCCCTCCTCTAATTCTCCCTAAATTCTGAAATCCATGTTTCATCCCCACATACCAGCCCATGGATAAAAATAGGTCATATTGACCCTATAGTCACCCCCAGCAGATCTAAAGGAACTCCAGCCCTCCTTAAGTTCCTCCTGACTGGTCTTGGGAGAGTCCAGGAATGTCTCGCTTGTCTTATAAACACCGGGACCCTCCTAGCTCCTTTTTTTTAAAATTTTTTTATTGTTATGTTAATCACCATACATTACATCATTAGTTTTTGATGTAGTGTTCCATGATTCATTGTTTGTGCATAACACCCAGTGCTCCATGCAGAACGGGCCCTCCTCAATACTCATCACCAGGCTAACCCATCCTCCCACCCCCCTCCCCTCTAGAACCCTCAGTTTGTTTCTCAGAGTCCATTGTCTCCCTAGCTCCTTTTTTAATGGTGCTGGCTCTCCTTAGAGCTGCGCCCTCCCTCCATCCTGCCTTCAGACTGCTGAGAGCTGCTTGGTGGGGCCAGCGCCTCCTACACCTGCTGTCCCCGCTCCACTCTTCAAAGCATGCCGCCTTCTCCTGACTTCTCTGGGCAGGAGGTGGGCTGGGCTGGTTGGGTGCTCAGGCCACCGTGTCCATTCACAGCACAAGTGATCTCCACAAATGGCACAGATAAGTCCCCTCTGCCCCCCTTGTGCCATCTGTGTTTTCTCATTCAGGCTTTGATGCAGGGCTGCTAAGTGCTCAGCATGTTTTTGTAGAAACTGCTCTTGCAGATTTTCCTTATTTTAATAGGGGTCGTTCTCCCTTGGATATACTATGAGTCTATGGGCGCCGGGATGGAGGGTGATCAGAGTGACAATTTCTTCCTCTTCACATTTACACCCTGTTCACCGCTAGCCCTGACCTGGCCCACAGCAGGTGTTCAATAAATGGCCGCTGAAATAGTGATGGAATCAACCCCTTCTTTTTTTAGGTGAATTCTTTCCCGGGAGCCTCCTCATGCATACAGGTAGGCACCTCTCAACCAGGTCTTCGATATGTTCAGTTTTTGTTTTTAAAGATTTTATTTGCCAGAGAGAGAGACAGCCAGAGAGGGAACACAAGCAGGGGGAGTGGGAGAGGGGGAAGCAGGGGGAGTGGGAGAGAGAGAAGCAGGCTTCCCGCCGAGCAGGGAGCCCGATGCGGGGCTCGATCCCAGGACCCTGGGACCATGACCTGAGCCGAGGGCAGACGCTTAACGACTGAGCCACCCAGGCGCCTCTAGATATGTTCAGTTTTATAAGAACCTTTCCCTCAAATGGCCCAACCAGACCCCCTTCCAGGGAAGGTCAAAGGTCAGATGCGCCAGAGTACTTAAAAGGATGAGAAGCCTTTAGAACTGTATTTCCTAGACCCCAACTGGGACTTAAAACAATGCTGTGCTAATATACACTCAGAGGCAGCCATTTTTGGTGGTCCACCCACCTTCAAGTCCCCCCGCCCCCGCTCCCGCCGAACAAACTCTGACGTTCTAGCATCAAGGCGCGCAGACAAAGAGGGTGGAACGGTCCAATGACTCCTACTCAGTAAAAGCCAGTTTTGTGTCCTTTGGTGCTTCTGCCGATGATTGGGCCAAGCGTGGTCATGTGACCCAGCTCTGACCAATGAGACTAAGCAGAAGTGTGCCGGGGACTTCCGGGAAAGATTGTCCTCGCTGAGACCGGCGGGGATGGGGGCGTGAAGCGGGAAGCCTGTCTTGTCCTCCCCTCCTGCAGTCTCGGGAGGGTGTGGTGCCTTGGGGAGTCGTGGCAGCATCCTGTGAAAGGGAAGGCGGCAGGGCCGACACACTGAGACTGATGGAGGGCCTGAGGGCTGCCCGGCACAGCTGAGGATGAAGACACCCTACAACAGCACGGTGTCTGGATCTGTGTGCTGAAGACTCCCGAGCCCCAGCACGCAGATCTCCACTCTCCAGGTAGGAGACTGGAAGTCGCTTCTCGGAGGATTCTGACTGGCCTAAGATGAAACCCTTAAAAATATTGACATAAGAGCTCTCCCCAAAGTGTCCTCGCCAGGTCCCTGCCAGTGCAGCTCACAGTCGACAAGTTCAAACCATAGGCTCAAAGTAGGGTGGCCACCTCATCCCCATTTGCTTGCGATTTTGTCGATTTTAGCACCGAAGCTCCTCCATCCTCACACACCCCTCCGTCCCGGGCAAACAGGGATGGGCGGTTACTGAGCTCATGTCCATCAGCTTTTTATTTTATTTATTTATTTTTAAGATTTTATTTATCCGAGAGAGAGACAAAGAGAGTGGAGGGAGGGGCAGAGGGAGAAGGAGAGGCAGAGAATCCCAAGCAGACTCTGCGCCGAGCCCAGAGCTCCATGCTGGGCTCCGTCTCACCACCCTGAGATCATGACCTGAGCAAAACCAAGAATTGGAGTCTTAACTGACTGAGCCACCCAGGCGCCCCTCTATCAGCTTTTTAGTTCCTCACTCTTAATGGTGAGCAGAACAACCAAGGTTCCCACACACCTGAGAAAAGTCTTTAACATCCGGAAGACTGAGTCTAAAATGAACACACAGAGCAAAGGAATTTGGAGGGAAAAGGTTATATGGGGAAAAGTAAAGCTACCAGAACTATTGCTGTCCTTGAAGAGATGAGAGAAGAGACTACCTCCGTAAAGATGCTGAGACAAAGTGATTCTTCTTTCTTTTATTCAGTCATTCCGTCAGTAACCAAATATTTCTAATAACCACCTATTTATAAGGACTTTAGGACTATTAATATGAATGTCAGAAATCCTGTTTTGAAGACGCTCTCATCTCTTAGGGCAGCCAGAGCTGGGAAGAATGGCCTGGGGCTGCATTTTGCTTTGGATTAAGGAAGGGACAAAGTGCTACATATTTTAGCAGATTGTGCAGTATAGATAGATCCTTATGTTT